TTTTTTACATTCATGGAATTGGATGCTGCTTGCAAGTATAATGGAATCTGTACCTACATGAACCTTTTTCTATATTACAGCTCGTGATTGTTTCGTTATAATCATCTGACAGGTCTTGTTCTATACAGAACATAGCATAAAAGGTGAATAACAAAGAGGGCTTCAGCAGTATTAGGAGTCTTGGGGACAGTCTAAAATGGCAATTAGGTTTCACAGTCCATTTACCCTGGGCACAAAAACCACTGTGTGTTGTTTGGAATAAAGGGAATTTGCAAATCTTAAAAAAACAACCAGTGGCAGACTAAGGCAGGGTTCTACTTAGACGGGTGACAGGTTACAAATGGTGTCTCCTTACTCAACAGGTCCACATGCAGGAAAGGCAGTCCTACCCATGATTTTAATAACAATATATATTTGTGCTCTCAGTTAGTCCTGTAATCACAGACTGAATCAGCCCCAGTGCACCCTCCTCTTTCTAGTACATTAGCAACTTGCCAATTATTTTCTAATTTCACGGGAGGAATCCGTGAGTCCTTGGACAGGGAAGGGGAAGCTGTATTTGTGTAGAAGAGCATCTGGGGATGTGCACGTATTCAGCCAGCTGGTGTAGGTACTGTACCCAGACACCGAGGGGGTAATAGGCAGAGGAAGTGCAGTGCTGTACATCTGAGAATTTGAAAAATGTCTTCCCTGAATGCAAAGGGGCAGGTCATGGAAAATGTTTTGTGGAAGAGCCTGATCCGTATCTTGGGCCACTGGAATCTGACAACAGGGCCACTGTAGTAACAAACTGACTACAACTCACATAGGGGAGTATCTCTGCGCTCAGAGCAGTTCGATGAAGTATAAGGAGACAGTGCAGCAGAACTGAGCAAGGGGTAATGGCTGTAGACAGAAGACCACACGATTGTCCATAGGATACTTTGGCTTGCACACAGATACTACAAGTACCTATTATTACATTTTATCTCCTTTTGCATTTGGAGCCTCCAGAAGTTTTGCTCTGCTAGGAAGGAGCCTTGGATGGACCAAAATGCCCTGTCAGGGTTGAGTTGTTATGCCATCTAAGGATACCCAGGCTTCCCCTCAAGCATGGAGACGTGATTCTTCATTTGAAGAACTCCATCTTGCAACTGGAAGCAAGGGTGGGGATGAGGCCAGCCTGTCTTCTTCCAAGTCTGCAGGCCTTGTTTGGCAGTAAAGCCAGATCAGATCTACCATGTCCTTTTTTGTGCCACCACTGAGGAAAGCAATGGGCTGGAGAATCAGTTACAGGGTAAAATTCTGAATACAAATACATACAAGAGAGGACATTTGCTTCACTATTGAAGCACAATGGAACAACACAAAATTGAACTGGGCTAAACAAAAATAAAAAGAGAGAGAGAGAGAGAACACCATCTTTGCTGAGGGTCAGACTCCTGGTGGTCTGAAGATGTTCCAGGTTCTTGTGGTCTGTGTAAAACGTGATGCTGCCACTCTGTAGATGTTACCTGGACTGCTAACAGTTTCTAATCCAAAATGTCATAAGTGCACTCTGAGCGGGGAGCAGCTTCTGCGGGTAACAGGAAGAGTGAACATGATCCCCAATACCAGCACAGGAAGCACTGGTCTCTACGGTGAAAAGCTGGGCACATGCTAGGTTACAGGTACAGCTGAACACAGGCTCTAATACATCATTGTTGACTTGGCTTACGGTGAGAGATGAAGCAGGTGCTTTTTTTTCTTTTTCTTTATTTTTTTTTGAGAAGCGGTGTTAATGGGGCTGCCAGGTACAAACAGTTGCTTATAGAGCTCTCTATAAAAGTTTGTAACTCAAGCTACCTTTCACAATAGCAAAAGTAATGATGTCACATGTTAAGAAAACAGAGGTATTGGATCTGCATCATTCTGTTCCATTTCTGAGTGGCTGGATGTACTGGTAAACAGAATGACTGGCCTCAAGCTGTGACGAATCAAGATGCCAGGACAGCAGTGTTGACATGCAGCAGATAGACACGCTTTGTGCAGGGAGAGATTTTAATTTATGTGCTGTTAAATTAGACATCATTTCAGTATAACTCAGAATAAAATGTTATTCTTGATTCCTCCTATCCTGGTCTGGACTGCATAGGAGGATGGATACCTTGAGGGTACCAACCATTTCTATCTTAGTCAGTGGAACAGAATGTACAGGCCCTTGAAGCCTCCAGGAAGACTGCTGCTCCATTCAGCTTTGACCATCTTGGTGTGATCGCCAGTGTGCAGAGGTGAAATGACTGAGAAGAAACAGTACAGCCTCAGCAAACATGTAACCTGGAAACATCAACAAAAGCATAAAGGAAAGTGAAATAAACTGCCCCCAGATACAGGCTCCAGTGATCTCCCAAGCATTCGGCATATAGTTCATCCTCTGAGCACTTGTACAAGGGGACTGAAAGGGACCAGACTAAAGGGAAGTGCCCCATGCACCTTGTTACATGTAGGTCCCTCCCAAACATCCTCAGTCATCCTCTTGGCAAGTAATTTCCCCTCAGAATGGCTTTGCTGTTAGAAGTCCTTGCTATTGCCTAGTTTAATTCACTTGGAGTCTGCCTGATCTCAGCTAATCCTGTGGGTGTTGGTGGATCAAACTAGCTGATCCTTCTCAGTACCAAGTATAGGGAGCAGTATCAAGACACCTGAATGGAACTCAGTGGGCGCATCTACATGAGATGCTATATCGCTGTACAACGAGCTGTCACTGTAGCTCATTGCTACTGCACAGAACTACTGGCATCACAGTTCATGCCAGTTGACACTATGTCACCATAGCAACGAGTTACAGTGACATAGCTCATCGTACGGCAGTGTAGCATCTCATGCAGACGCACCCACGGAGTTCCATTCAGGTGTTTTGATACTGGATGATTTAGTGCAGAAGCATGGGAAAAAAGTCTGTGTGGCATCAGGACTGTGCAGTAATGCTAATTACTGCACAGTCATTTAGTACTTGCATTAGTACTTGCTTAAGCAAGTACTAAATGTCTGTGCAGTAACAACTGTACAGTCTGGCGCATGTGTAGATGCACCCAGTCTGTTGTTAATTCCGTCATGCTTACAGAGATTGTATTTGTATTTGTTTCAAAAAATACACACAGACCTCATTCATGAGTTACAGCTCCGAGTGCTGTTTCGTGTCTTTAAGTTTTTCCTTGATTTTTTCAGGCAAGACTCTGGTCCAGAACTGCACTGTGTTCTCTTTCAGCTTCTTTGCTGTCTTCTGCTTCAAGTTCAGTTCCAGGTACTCTTCGTCCAGGTTGTACACTGGCCATTCCACCAGACCTTCACCATTAGGATTCCTGTGCACAACATAATGAAGACATGCCAGGAAAGACTGGTGATAGGATAGAGAGCAGGATCTCTTTAACTCCCCAGTTTCAGTGTAGACCAGATTGGTAAAGCCATTTCTTCTGACAGCTGTTCATCACCATAAATTTTAGCTTGGGCAGAGCACAGAGACTTCCATGACACAACAGCCATCAGGTGAGTAGGTATACTGGGAGAAAGCAATGTCGTCTGATGGTTGGGGAACCAACTTGGGCAGCAAGAAACTCAAATTGCCTTCCCAGTTCTGCCCCTGACCTGCCACATGACCTTGGGCAAGTCACTTCACTTCTCTATGCCCAGATTCCCCACAATAGCTAAATGGTAATGACCCTGCTTCTTAAAGCCTGTTCCTGACTACCAAAGCCTTCAATGTGGTCTTGATTCACTAGGATGCATTAGTGAGGCTTTGTATTACCGACAAAGTAAACTGTGCTTGCCGTGCTGTACCTGTTATGTGATTAAGCAAAGAAAATGGGTTGGAGCTATCAATCCAACAGCTTTTCAAGCATGGAGTGGTCTGCACAAATGAGCTACCCAACTGGCTACAGATTCAAATAAGCAAATACACTATTTGGGAAAAAAGAGTATTGAATCTTACCCATGCCGTGCAAAATTAGCCCAGTATTTCATTACTGTTCTGCTGAGATGTTTCTCCTCCTCTGTAGTGACTCCGAAAACTAGAAATATCAAATTACACAATTCTGCATGATAGGAACAGAATATAGGTGCATGTACCAACTACAGCTAACTTCTGAATGCTGCTATTTTATAGGCTGTCCATCAAATGCATAGTTACATAGAATATATTTGTCTGCAATTGGCAGGAGATTCAACTGCCCTCAATTGCTGAATACAAAGGAAGGATAAGAAAAATAAATATATGGTGTTGGGTTGGGACTGGAACAAGAGGAATGGTGGATTTCCAGTATCCACCTCTGCCAAATATGATCATTCTTATTTCACTGAATCAAAACAGAATAGTCTGCTACATCTACTTGTTCAAACCCACTAATATAGCATTTGCCCATCATCCTATGATAACAAAGGCATAACTTAAACTGCCAACTGCTTAAGAACAATAAATGTGATATATACTACTAAGGATTCCTTACCAGACTCATCAGCAATAAACATGTTTCCAAAGACAAAATTAATTTCATCTCCATGATCTGCTTTTACAAAGTCTGGTCTGAGGTCTGCAACTGAACTTAGAGGATGTTGGAATTCATAAAAATAGACAGGAGAGCCAGAATCTGAAAAAGCCCACAATTAAAAGAAACTATATTTATTTAAGCTAAAACAAGTTCTCCATTTTCAAGTAGAAACTAAAACAATTCTAGCCACATAGTTGGGCACTGGAATTAATAATTTGTTTGGAGTGACACCTGAGACATGATCTCCAAAACAGAGAGACAGATACAGGTAATGTGTCGAGACTCAGATACATTCAAGACTGAATTTTGATTTCTGAAAGTTAAGGGATGTTCACTCCTTTAGCATAATCACATCCCAAAACACCTGAGAAACCTTCTGTCTATAAAATTAATTCTCAGTTAAGATCTAAGTCTGACCATCTCTGGGAGTTGGGAAATAAGTTTCTTTGTAGTACGGCAACCTCATTGCCTATCCCCAGAAAAAAGAAACTGAAAAAAAAATATCACTCACCAAAACAAACCACGTCCCCTTAACAGAGTTCTAACCCTTCTGCTTTCCAGAAGCAAAGACTAGTGCTAATCAGGATGACTGTTACTTCTCACTTTTTCCCTGTACCCCGCCATCTGTCTGGGTTCAAATACTGCCTATCGTCCAAAAATCAGAGTGCAGATCTTTAGGACGTAGGCAGTCCTTACATTCAATGTTTTCTCAGCATGTAGCAGATGGGCTCTTGACTCATGACAGGCTCATGTGCTATGGTAATACTACTATGAAAGATGCTATAGAGTTCTGTGTACTTTGGCTAATTAAAATGGCATACACAATGTGTGGCATGAGTCTAGATTGGTATATTAAGAAAAATAAATGTTGAGTATATGTTGTTTAGGAAGATCAGCTTATACCCTGCTTGACTGAATTCTCACAAAGCTAGAGAGCAATAATTCTCAATCAGGGTGCTGGGACACCTTGGGGAGCCACAAGGTCCTCTAAAGGGTGCTGTAGGAAGTGTGAGGAGATAAATGAGGTATGAGGAGATGAGCAAAGGCAGGCAGGCTCAGGTTTCAGCTGTGAGGAGGTCAGCAGGTAAGGGCAGGCTCAGGCTCTCCCTGCCTGGCTGCTCCTTCATCTTCCTGGCCTGTCCCCTCTGCAAGGAGGTAAGCACTGCAATAAATCAGTGTTTGAAATGGGTTACCCCTTAATTTATGTGAGTTATGAAGGAGGGCCTTGTGTCTGAGGGGTGCCTTGAGACTGAAAAGGTTGAGAACCACTGCCATATAGGTTGGGTGCAAAGATGGTAGCAGACAAAGTTCTTCAGTTGAATCTGATATCTTTTATTAAACCAACTTAAATAGTTGGGAAAAAAAAATTTTAGCAAGCTTTTGGGTTTAAAAATCCTTTGTCAGGGTGAGGTAGCATCTGCAGTTGGTGTGTGCTCTTCCTTTCTAAGACAATTTTTTCCAACTATTTAAGTTGGTCTAATAAATGTATCAGATTCACCCAAAGACCCTTGCCTGCCTATGTCCTTAGACTAACACAGCTACAAACTACACCCGTGTAAGATGGCAGCAGTGCTTACAAGTAGCTATAGTTTTAGCAGGCTTACCAGCTCGTTACAACGAGAGAAGGGCTATTTTATGCTACAGTGTTTAGCTAGCAGAACGTATTCCCCTTGTGGCATCAGAATTCCTCCTTTCTGGCAGCAGAGCAACGCCAACTCGGTGAGCTACAGAAGGCTTTTTGCTGCCACAAGGAAGATGCCACCAAATGTATGTAGGCAAGCCCATGATTTCTGCCAGCAGCCACAGACTATTTCATAGCGGGTGCATCCTACATGGGGTATCTTGTATATTGGAGCTGCACAGAAGCACTAGAAGCCATAGGTATGGGGACATGGTTGGGCATTTCTTTGTGATGGTGGCTCCCTGACAGCAAAAGTCCTTCACTGGACCAGTTGTATAGTTGGGAGAGATGTTAGACAAGCTTTTGGGCACAAGTGCCCTTCCTCAGGTCTGCTCAGTTGGGCCAATGAAAGATATTACTGAAAAAACCCTTGGCTCTCACATATTCCTTGGACCAGCTCAGCCACAGTAACACTCTTATGCTACAGCAAACGTAATGGAAACAAGCCCTAAGAGCAGGGGTGGGCAAAATGTGGCCCGCGGGGTGGCCCGCCAGGCCATTCTATCTGGCCCGTGGGGCCCCTAAAAAATTTAGAAAGTAAATATTTCTCTGTCCCTGGCTGCTTGTCATGCAGCCCTTGTTGGCTTGTCAAAACTCAGTAAGAGGCCCTCCACCCAAGATAATTGCCTGCCCGTGCCTAAGAGGGATAAATAGAGGGGAAGGAAGTTGTGAGTATTAACTAGTTCTGCCTCAGCTAAGGGGTCAATTAAGGTAAAAAAATTAATGAAGGAGCTAACGAAACAGTAATGAAAGCCCCAGATAACTCCAGTGGCTGGTTCTGAAGGAGGCGAAGAAAGCCCCAGAGAAAGATACAGTAATTAGCAATCCAGGGGGAGGAAGACGGGTGGGCCTATTGCTTATGCCAGCATGAATGTGCAGCAACCTGGCCTAGTGTGCTAGCGCTCTGATCTATACTGACAGTCAATTTTACTTTGAGGGTTTATCTATATTATCTACCTTTCCTCTAGAATGTATTAAACGGAAGCTCACCTTTGTGATACCTGGAGGATTTAATAGCTGGAACTAAGAATGCGGCATCCCCCATCAAGTCCAGAAATCGGTCCCGTAGAACAGTCGTGTCATTGGCGTCTCCCAGGTACTCGTGCACTATCAAAGGTACACCTTCAGGTGGCACGGACTGGAAGGCAGGAGGAAGAGAAAACTAGCCACAGGGTTGATCAAGGGCTGCAGGAATCAGCAGGACAACATGTCAGACATTGGTTAGCATGGACAACAAGGGAATTTTTGTTTCTTATGAGGACCTGGCAGTCCAGAAGTGATATAGCTCTTAGTAACACCATTGCAGAGGGTCTAGGGGTTACCAGCTTTGTCTCAAGTACATGGGAGTAAGTAGATACCCAGGGGTGAAAAATGCACTTAGAATTCCAGCCGCTGTTTTAATTTATCATAACAAAACAAAGACGAAACAGAAGTCCAATCCCTAAGCACTGAGCAAGTTAAAGGGAGGTTAATCAGTCTGCTAGTTCCTTACCAAAAACGGTAACATATTCTCCAATACTGAAGTTATGGTTTCTCTCTCCATCCCTTCCTTCAGGCCAGGCAAGCCTACTGACTAAAGGAAAATATTAAAAATAATCAGTTCCGTTTATAACAACACACACAGGCCCCAAAGCCTCAGCAGGTAAGACATATCACAGCACTTAGGTTTACAAACTAATGTACTACGTAGCAAAGGGCCACAGGAACTGGCATCCAGGATCAGATCTGTAGTCCAGTACAGGTTTCTAACAAAGGCCAGAAGGGGTCAGCCATGTTAGCCTGAAACTAGGCAGAAAGTAGGGTAGGGTGGCACACCTCAGAGACTAACTGGCTGCGAGAGACATGAGCTTTTGTAGGAAGCAACCTCCTTCATGAGCCAAGTTGCTGACAAAGTAGAGACTGTTGCCTATGAAAGCTCATGTTTCTCTGAAGGTCTCAGAAGTGCTACCCTGTACTACCTTCCACCTAACACTGGCTAGAAGCAGATTTTTCAGAGGACAGTGCAAACACCTGCAGGAAGCTAATGTGAAATAATCTGCCTCTGCATTAGTTTCATCCTGATAAGACTTCGGCTTAAGCCCTGAGGTTTAATACCCCTTCCAGAATTGTTGTGAGCATCAGGTATTACAGCTTTGGAAGATCTTGTTTTCCATACAAGGGTCCAAACCTTTTTGAGTCTTATCAAGGTCTAGCTGCTAAACTAGAAAGGTTAGTATGAAATACAGCATACATAACACATGCATAGAAAGGGTGCCTTGGGCCCTCACATCTACAGTCACCAGAACCACCACTTCAGCCAGACATGCTCAACTGAGGCATAATCCCTGAAATACCCAGTAACATGCCATACGACAGTAAAGGCAGCGGACATGAAGGCACTGCCAGTGCTCCACTACTGCAACAAGAGGGAAGCAGTGGTTAATATATATTCACAACATCCTAAGAAAAGGCCAGTGACTCCTATTACAGAGGAAGGTAACCCCCCGCTCCCTTCAGTTCATGACCACATCATTGACAGGAGAATTTCCTTTGTGGACCCAAATTTAACTATCAGTATGACCATGAGCGGAAGAGCAAGACACTTTAACGCTTATGGGGTTTCTAAATCTAGTCCCCTGTACCAGGTCATCCTTTACTCATGATCTTCATAAAGGTCATGATGAGAGCAAATGTCTAGATATAAATTCCTTATGTTCTGATATAGGGTAAATTAAACCATGTCTATGGGAATTCTTGTCATTTATAGGTTTCTCAGCTTTAAGAAAATTAGAGACTGCGATGGGAAGAGAACTGGACTGTAAACCTGCTTCTGAAGTTGGATTGCAAACAAAAACATTGATTTCTATGTGTCACTGCTACTGTCTGGGGTAGAGATGCCCTAATGGTTTTATTAGTTAAAAACCAGTACTTCATTTGTTTTACTTTTTGAAATATTCAAAGAAAGGCCAGTGATACAGGGTCTCCCACTGAGACCTCTGAAAGGGTCTGAGCAGCAGGGGACCCCAAACTCTCCAAAAGAGGAGCTGGGCATCGAAGGTCTAGTTATTTAAGAAAATTTAGGCCACCGAACCCCCCTTTAGAAGACCTTAGATAATATTTGAAGAACTTCTTAAGTGATGGTATGACCAGTCCTGCATTCTCCTACTTATCAAATGCCAGGAGAGAGAGCAATGTAGATTGTTAATTTGATTACCAACCTCTTCTAATTCTTAGACCTGGCTATTCTCTACCCTATTCTCCTCCCAGCAGCAATCTATACATGGCTCTGGTATCCTTCTGAATGGCACACCCTTTATAAATGTACAGTTTTTCTTGGGAAGAGTAGAAAATCTTGTCAGATGTATGCTAGGTATCCACAAAGGCATGGACAATTGGGGGCCAGCCTCGAAATATGTCCCATGGGCTTCAGGTACACAAGAATGGAAGCTCAAATTGTCTGTCTTTCATAGGGAAAGAAAGTGGTACCCTGGTTTAATGCAACGGTTCATGCAGACAGCTGTGCCAAGCTATTAGAAATCTCTTACGTTAGGAATGAGCCAGCCGTATTCATGGTTAGTTATTCCTATTATATATGGAACAGCACTAAACTCTTTTGCAGCCATTAGGTCTTCAGGGTTCTTCTGAATAAAAATGCCATCTACAACAGCAGGGATAAATGGGATTGCCTGGAAGAGAGAAAAGAAAAGCATTTATTTGTCAAGCCGTTACTGCTTTCCATGTGGAAGCTTCTACCAAGAAATCAAGCTAATATCATTCATTGTGACAAAAGAAAAGGAGATGCTGGGCCCGATTAAGCACAATGGTAGATGTCATGCCATTACAACTGTTTTCACAGTGGCTGAATTTGACTTGCACAGCACAATCAAGGAATCAGAGCACCTAGAGTGAGGATTTCAAAGCATTTCCTTCGAAGTCTAAGACATAAAAAGCCAAATGTGAAACTGGATTTAACCAGCAAAATTGAAAAAAAAGACATAACATATGCATGTCCAATCCCAGAGCTATCCTTAAATTCACTTTTCTCCACTGGCAATCACAGTACCTACAAGGCTATGCTCCACTAACTCACTCAGAAGCTGCCCCTGCCCCTCTGTTAACAGCCACCTGTAGCTACCTGAAATGGACTTACCCCTACACATCACCCCTACCTTTTGTAGCTGATATCTTAAAATAATTTCTTCCTCAGGCTTCTTCCTTAGGCAGTGAACCATTGCAGCTGAACTCATGGTCTCACAGCCAGATATGTTAGCGACCATCTGCAATTATTCAAACAACGTTAGATCTGCAAACAGCTATTAGATTCTGATGCAAATGAAAGTGTTATCTGGGGACAGGCTCTGGAATTTGTGTAACCAATGTCTGATGTATATCAGTTTCTTTATAACAACGCGCACAGGAAAGTATAGGATGGGATCTGCAGAAGTGTTTAAGAGATGGCCTGTTTTAAATGGGATTAGTCTTACACAGTGCTTTTAAAAATGCCTCTCATGGTTTAATACATTAGCTGCCTGTGTTTTGCAAAGCAGCTCAGAACTGTAATTTAAACCAGAGACTAAACGTCCTTGAAAAATGCTAGCTTATTTAAATAAGCAAAGACAAACTACAAAGAAAAAAATTAATCCAAGAAATTCAGAGCCAAGCCTAGCATTCTGTACTCATACAACTGAGCATCTTGTGTGATCAATGGCATTACGCATCCCTCTGAATTTCCTGGCTGCTCTTTCTTCTTTGTGTGAGAAACAAAGAATTACTTGACATAATGTTCTAAAAAATACTGAGACTGGGCCAATACAACAGGATTAGTGAACAATTAAAATATAGCATACCCTGTTTCACTGGAACAAAATTATCTCCCGATGCTCAAGAATTCAATGTGGACAGAAACAGTGTACAAGAAAAAAAGGATAATGCATATGGTATTACGTTCTATAGCCAAATCGAATGGGGTGGAATGGAGGAATGTCTCCGAGGAGGAAGAAGACAGTTTTTATCTTAGAAAACAATCTGCAAGATGTGAGGACTAGAATCTGATCTGGGTGCAATAGATTGCAGCACACATCCTATTAAAAAAAAAAAAAACCTTTGAAAAATCTCATTTAAAAACAAAATATTGACTCAGCTAAAATGAAACAGAACTGACAGAGCAGACTGTGCTCTGCAATGCCAGCATGAGTACCAGGTATCCAGGTTTTCTGTTTGCCATGGAAAAATGCAGTAAAACCTGGATCTTCTCTTTTAAAGGAGAAAAATGTGGGAAAAGGTGGGTTTCCCCTTGCAGGCTGGCAGAGTTTCAGCCTGCAAGGGGCTGGGGGGAGCAGGAGGAAGATGGTTAGGCAGAGGACACCATGCACATATGTATATATGCACGTGACTGCCAGGCAGCCTGGAGAGCAGCTCCCACAGGTAAGTTGGGTGGGGGATTGAGGGTCCCATAGTGAGGGAGGGAGTTGGGCAGCGCTGGGGCTTGGGCTGCTGCCCAGCCGGAGCACTGCATGGGGCCTGGGTCCATGTGCAGCCACAGGGTCTGGGCAGGGAGAGGGACGAGCCATGGGTGGCTTGTCTGGAGAGAGTGTGTGCGCAGGTGTGGGAGGGGTGGCTGGCTCCATGCCACTGCATGCACTCCTGGTGGGAGCATGGGGGGCACATGCCCCCCAGATTTGCAGTGGGGGTGAGTGCAGGCTGCCCACTGCAGCTCGAGCTCCTCACTCTGCTGCCTTCCTCCTGGGGTCTCCGCAGCCCAGTGGGTGGAAGTTAGCATGGCAGGACAGAGTACGGCCAGGCAGGGAAGCTCGGTGCCACAAGTGCGAGCCTTATGCTGCCATGGTGAAGTGCCTCCTGCCCACCTGGCAGCAGCTGGGGTGGTGGCATGGACTTGTGCCTCCCGCTGCTACCAGGAGGGTAGGAGGCACTTTGCCATGACAGTACAGGGCTTGCAGAGATGGCACTGAGCTTCCCCACTTGGCCCTGCTCTGCTGGGCCGGGTTGGGTCCTGCCCTCTGTGCCACAGAGGCCCTGGGAGGATGGTAGCAGGGCCAGAAGCCTGCGCCCGCATTGGGCAGCCCACATCAGCTCCCACCAAGGGCTCTGCTCTGGCCGTGGGAAGGGGGAGCTGGGCACCTCGCTCTGCTCTGCTGCAGCAGCTGCTGCCTCTCATGGGTGACAGCCAGGGCTTGGGTGCTGCTGCAGGGGGCAGGGGGCTGTGGACCTGGGTCCCTTGTCCTGTAACCCTGGCAGCTGAGGGCCCCCTCCAGCAGGGCCGAGGGTATGGGGGGCGGTGGGTGGGGAGCGACAGATTTTGGGTTTTTTTCAATTAGAGAATTTGTGATTTTTAAAACAGAGAAAACCAGGATCCCTGCTTTAGTAACATAATGAGTAAGAATGGGCATAACATACCTTAGCAATCGCTTCAGGATGCGAACTAAACATGGTAGGAAAGAGTGCAACTCCACTCTCTGAGATGGCTTTGTGGAACAGGCCTTTTGCCAATCGAGATAGAACCTGAAACAGATGAGGGTGGGAGGGGGACAAGGAAAAAGGCTCAAACACTGCATGATGAGTTTACAGTAAAGATGGGAGTGACTGGGTGCAGTCTTCCTAGAATTTAGAGTAGTTGTTGTGCTTTGGCAGGT